CAAAGTAAGAACCTGTGAGGCTGACACCACCACCACCAACCCCCATTTGCCCAAGCAGGGAGGATTGGGGTCAAGCAGCACAGCGACCTCAGATGTGAGACCTAAAGCAAAAAGACCCCCAGCAACACCCCTCCCACACACTCCAGTTACAAATCGTTACATCTAAAATAGCTTTTTTTTTCTGAGAGAAATGATTGTGTCAAATCAAAAACATAAGCTAGGAGCTTCTTARAGATAGAGTGATTAAAACTCAACAGATAATACTCTGTGCTATTATCAGGGATTTACAGTAGAAAATCCCACTTTGTCATCAATCCATCCAGCTCTGCTCTTAATACCACCATGTCCTACTCTTCATTTTAACAGTTTCTTTCTGTTTAAAAGAAAGGCTTGTCCGTGGCTTGGCTCAGTAGCTGGTGCTGACACCTCGGTTGTTATATATGCAGTCCCTTTCACTAGTCCCTTTTCTCTTCTTTCCTCCTCTCTGTTGAAAGAAAACAATAAAAGATCAGAGAGGGTCTCTTTTTTCCACCCCCCCCCCTTCTTTTCCCTTCACTTAATTTCTTCACCAAAGCCTTTTGATATAAACAGAGCCCATCTCTCTCTGTAAAGAAAGTGATGGACTCATCACTCTCTGTAAGGAGACCATCCTGCCTCCCTGGGAGCTTCAACCCAACTCAATAAATTCACATTACTCTTGCACAACACTACACTCTGTAGCAGCGCTTGACGCACAAACTAGCTCAGATCACTTCTCATTCATTGTTTTTTTTTCCCCTGCTGTCTTTTTCTTGCTACTTTTTTCTCTTCTGTCTCTTTTTTCCCCAACATTGTACTTCAATCCCATCCTAACCACTTACTCGATTGTATCGGCAGCTTAGACTATGCCATCAATACTCTAATGGTTGCATTTTTTTAAATGTTTTTAGAGGAAGAAACAAACTACTTTAAACAGAAAGAAACTCTGATTGAAGGGATACAACAGCAGATAGCCCAAGGGTCACACTTTAGGTGAGGAAGAAGGTGGGGGTGGACTTGTAAATGCTTATGAGGAGTAAAAAATAGATCAAAACATTTATACTGGCTCATTCAATTGCAATCACAACCCAATCACATAGTGTCCTTGTAGCGCTTTTAAGTGAACGGGTCAGCGGTGTTTTATTGTGAGTGGAAGCAAGCCTAATGAAAGGAACAATACGGAGATTAGCAGTGCCAGCCAGTCGGCTCAAACTTCACCCTGGCTTTAATTGCTGTGAACAAGCAGAGATGTAGAGGCAGGGCAAACAGAGGACAAAAAGAACAGAGCGAGTGCTGGAGCAGGAGGCRGGAGGATCCGCAAAGGCTGGATGATAAATGGACGTCGAACTTTTATGACGCTGTAACACGTCCATCTAACCCAGGCCGGTGTGGGATGTGTCAAGGAGTGTGTGAGTTGTACTGGGTCCAGGCTCATAAGCTTCATATGAAAGTGGAGGACCTAGTAAATGCAGAGTTTGTGGTTCAAAGGGGAAAATATACGTCTTGATTGAGAAGATTTGGTATAAATCAGGAGTCTATGACAAATGCTCACAAGACAAAAGCTCACACCCTTAATGGAAAAAAAAAACAAAAGCTCACAATTTGCCACATTGTATCGCCAAAAAAGTGCAGAAGATTTATATCACAAAGTGTTATCATGCATCATAAATATTTCACATCATAAAAGGAAGCATATTGCATGAAATTAAAAACACTCATAAACATAATACCTGCTCGATCTTGCTGAAGTGGATAAAAGTATTGTTAAAAAATATGATGGTTCGAAGGTGAGAACGACTCAAAATAAAGTGAGCTTTTGTCCATTTTTCATCAAGACTGTGAGCTGTTTGTCCTGTGATAATTTGCACCATAAATCAGTGATGTAAAAAAATAAACTGTCATGTCTGAGCAGTGAATTGGAACATCAAAACAGGAATGGTTAGGTAAGGAAACATTTTGAATTATTCTTCATTTAAAGCCAGTATCAGTAATATTTCTTTGTTTACATTTTATCCACAGTCAGTGTGTTGAGCATTAAGAAGAGAACATCAATACTGGAAGGATTTAGCTTGACGAACACTCTTAGTAAGCAGATGTAACTCGAGAAAACAGGATTTTTAAAGTCTCAGACTGACTTCTAGGTTTTTAATAGCAGTGCTAAAACTGAGAGTTCCTGCAAGTTGTTCCATGAAGTAGTAGTTAGCAAGATTATCTAGACCATAAAACCACCTACTGTCAGTTATAACAAGGTTATAAATTCACTTTTAAATATTTATAGGTTTTGTTGCTTTTGAAAGGTTAATTGTTTTTGTTTATCTGACTTCATTTACTTCTCMCTTTACATTCAAGGTTGTTCCAAAACTAAAGGTGTAGCCTGGAGAGGAACTCAAAAATGCTTTGAATAAACATTCCAAACTAAGAAACAGTGGGTGTTTATTGCTAAATGATGATGAACAACAGGAGTAGTAGGTGAGAAAAGCCTCATTAATGGAACATCTCACTGGGCTGCGACGTCTGGGGACTAGTTGGTGAACAGCCCTCTGACGGGAGTTTTCGATTGTCTCAAGATGTTCACGAGGGTTCTTAAATTCCTCGCTCAAGTGACACAGGTTCACTTTCTTGTCACTTGAATTTTGATCGTGTTCAAAGGAATTTGTGTGACAAATTTTCTCTCAAGAGTCCACAGAGTCAGTGAGGATGTGTCCAACCCGTCACAAGAGTGCAGAACTGGAGTTTGACACCTGCACTCTTTTGACAAAAAATAAAAATAAAAAACATGTCCAGGTCTAAAAACTACACCAAAGATGAATYATAATGATTTTTTTAAAAAAAAACTGGTCCATATCTGCTGTTTTTCACTCCAAAATTGTAGTCCAGCAAATTAAATGCCTAAATGTGAGTGCAGATGCCACGGTAGGTACAGAGTGAAAGCAGACTGAGGTGGGTAAGATGTGGTGGGTGGGTGTGGTGTGGTGGGTCAGAGGTGGGCAACAAAATAATGTACAAGGACAAGACTGCAGTTTGCAAGCCCTGTACTCAAAAATAAAGCCATTATTTTTTTTTAACTAGCTGTACAAAACAGCCACATGGCTCACTGGGCATTTGGTCTCAACCACTCCAATTTTTAGTGAGACTGCAGCTGAATTGTTTATTTTCTCCCATTTCTGAGTCTTAGAGACACAAAGTTGTCTCAAACAGATGCAGCCCATTAGATTTTAGCTAAGACCAAAAATTAGCACTGGTATATAAAAAGGGTGATGAAACAGGGTAAAGACAGAAGTCAGCACAGTAAAATGTATATGTCTTATTTTGTGGTGCTGTTAGCACAATGATGTTTTTTAACATTCACCCATTTACTTCTTTACTTTGTGGGTTGTGTTCATTATAAATACTTTGTGTGACAACTCTCCCTTGTCTTGTTTTAATTCCTTCATTGTTGTTTTCTTCTTCTTTTAAAAAAGATAAAGCACATTGAAGTAATCCTGACAGCATCAAGTAATTTTGTACTTGTGTCACTTTGTACTTTTGCAGTTTTAATCACTACACACCCATATTTTATGGGTACAAAAGGAAGGGGTCTATGGGTCTTTTTGTACCCACCTTGGCAACCACACAACACTGATGATAATATACTTTTTGGCTTGATGATAGGTTTAACGTTTACTAAATTCTTAACCCTGTCCCCAAACCTCTAATCTTAACATCTGACACATGACCCTGACATCAAACCTCTGAACCCTGGCCCTAACCTTAGCTTAACCCTAAATAGGGACACATAAGTAAAACATAAATACATGGGTATGCAATGGTAAGCCACACACAAAGCAAAATTTGTCTGGCCCAGGTCTGACCCACACAATGCACTAACACTCAGCCCAGATACGGCAAAGCATGAAGGTCTTTTGGTGGGCTAGCACCACATAAACCAAACCAGAGTGGTCCACTTGTAACATTGGCAGATTTGAGCCATATAAACAAAGTTACAACTGGGTCAGTTGAAATATACCATATTAAAAACAGCACCATCATTGCCAGACTTGGCCCACATCAAACCAATTACCATGCCAGCAGTCCCAGTTGACACCAGATCTGTACCACACCTGTCTGTTATGTGGGCAGTTAGCATGACACCTACTGAGGCCCTGTTTACAGGAATCCGGTCTCCGGAAATACTGGTGTTCTTTCAATGTTTATTGGGGTGAACGTACAAAAACAATCACATGCTTACATGGAACTTCTGCAGTGATGTGCCAGCCGCAGGGTTGCCAGATGGGACAGAGCAAACAATTTTACTGTCCCTTTAAAAATGATTGTATTTTTAGTCAAAACAGCTGATATGCTGTATATATGACTCACTCATGCTGAGTAAGGGTGTTGCAAGATAAGGTCTGAGTTGTGTTTGATGAAAATGTGCACAGAAAAGAAGGGGCAAAAAAACCTTTTTGTTTTCTTATCTGGCAACCCTGATGTCATGATCACAAATTAGTAAATAAACTAAAGTTCCTTCGGACCTACAAGCTGCAAAGGGTGAGCAACACAAAAAACACTGCTCTCTGTAATTTATTGTTGTTYGTTTAGAAGAAACTTTAGCTGCACTCATCTGTTCATGAATGTGTGTGCACTTTCACACCTGCAGAGTACTACACACCTCCACAGGGGTGTTACTAAAATCTTGCCCTCCTGAGTGTAGAGTGGAAGAAAGTCTAAATAAACAAAGACCTGATCCTGGCACTGGTATTGATGCCATATTACAGTCCACCATTGATTTTACCAAGATTTTTACATAAAATATTAGACAACTAGAAAATATCGGCACTGATGTTAAGGCAAGGGAGAAGATTGTCCATTAAGTTTTTCAAAATATGAAATGAGTTCTCCCATTGAAGTTTTTAAATGTTTTGTCAGCTTCGGGTCTGATAAAACCTCCCAAACTAGGCAAAAAACCATACAACTATGATCAGTTCAGGTATGCAAAGTCTTACCAGTCCAGAACATGTTGATATCGCTGCAGAGGACGCTGACAGGTTGCGAATAAATCCCTGATACAGACAGTGGTGAAACCTCTCATCATCCATCACCGTGGAGATGCCATGCGAGTCGACAGTCTGCACGGTGAAGCCTGGGCCGACTACAGAAGATGGATGCAAATCCAGGTGCATGTCCTGCCCAAAGGCAGAGAGCCGGTAGTGCAAGGAAGTAGACAGGGACCTCCTGCTTCGATGGCTTCTGCTGCTCACATCATGTGTCAGGTATGTGCCATCAGAGTCCACCTCCACAGGCGTCACAAACACATAGTCTGAGGGAAAAGAACGGATAGCGTCACCTCACAGAACTTTAATGGAACGTACATTTCTCTGCTTCTTTATATTTCTAACATTTCTAGAACGCTTATTTATTTAGCTAGAGAAAAGGGATCATTTCCATTAAGCTGTGGTGTACGTCAGCAGGGATGAACACATCACTCATTGGTTCCTCTCTTTTAGCAATAAATCCTTCAACAGTGTAGGCCTGGGAAATTACAGGGAATAAGATACAGTATGTAACACRTCAGTATGTAAAGCATCTCCACAGCTTCTGCAAGATAAAGTAGCCAAAGAGGGAATCCTTGAATGAGGACTGCTGACTGCAGCAGTGCTGACACGAAATAAAAGATCCCAACAAGTGATTCTGAACATTTTCACTACAGGATGATGAGTTGGCATGTGACCCTAYTGAACCCTGTTTTCACTTAAGACTTCCTCCTTGGGAGCCGCACCACTTCAGTGAAGTGAAGAGCTGCCGTGTAATTCATTTTGTTCCCATTCACTTTACAAACGTGGCGCGGTGCCAGCTGGAAGAAACCCCCCCAGAGATGTCAAAAGACAAGCACTCACCAAGATTTAATCCATGGCTGTGGCTGGGAGGAGAAGAGCTGGCCAATACAGAATGGGAGGTGTGTGTGCAATAGATGTGCAGAGTCTGCAAAAAAGAAAAGAAGGAAAACAGAAAAAAAAAACATAACTGGACAGGTAGCAACAGGTTGCAACAGTAAGAAAACTGGATGCCAAAATGTGGTTCCTCTGTYGAAACATGAATTGCACTTGAGTTTAATTTGGCACCACTTTTCACCACAATGAATGACAATAACAGAGAAGACGCCGCTTTGTTGCTGACATAAATAATGATGAAGAGACAAATGCTTGTTTGTGCTCCCAGATACACGTGCTGCAAAAAAAAAAAAAAAAGTGAGGATGAATCTCATGCCTTGAAGATATTCCAGGTTATTATGGTGGAGAGAAGCTTGACTGAGGTGCAGCCGACCAGCGGGATGGGTAAAGTCCATATCAGAAGAAAAACGCAATCCATAGTGATGGCATGCGCGTTGACACCTCCTCGGTTACCTCCTGAAAGAACGCAGAAGTAGTATTAATCTGCGGTGGCGCATAATGCAGTTAATTCGCATTGTTTGGGTGGGTTTGTCTCCGCCGCTTTTTTTTTCCTCGTTCAGGTGAAGTCAGCTGGCTGCAGCGGCCGGTTGTGCGTGCAGACGAGAGGCGCACTCATGAGTGTGTATGTGCGTGCGCGCGAGTGTGAGTGTGTGCGTTTGGAAAGGAGCGAGTGTCGGAGCGCTGACTGCAGTCCGGCTCTGCGAGAGTCGGCGTGCAGGATGGAGCATAAGTCAGTAGCAGGCAGCCAATCAGCTTGCAGCATCATTTTGCACGCGCAGATAAAAGAGAGGAAAAAGATTCTCCTCCTGGAGGTGGGGGGG